AATCATTTTTAAATGACAGTAATTTTAATGTCTATGAAATGAATGAATGTTATCCTAATCAAACGAATTCTTATTATTATCGATTTTATTGTTTATTGTAGTTTCGTAATGAATTGGCAAAAATTGTCACACCAGGTGATCCAAGAGCTGATCTACGTGAAATATGTCGTATTGGTAAAGGTAGTACTGGTGTAGTTTGTTTAATGCATCATTCACCAACTAAACAATATGTAGCTGTGAAAAAAATGAATATATTCAAACAACAAAGACGTGAATTACTTTTTAATGAAGTAAGTGATTTTTTTCTATAAATTTCAGGCTAATAACAGCATTTTATTGATAATTCTTTATTATTAAGAAACGTTGCTACTTGGAATGCTCTCCTAGCTGATGTGACTACAGCCGCCTCAGTGGACTTGATAAACACGTACTCATATACGAATTATCATCTCCCTCGTGGACAAGCTGTGCGTGATGCATGTCTTGAGACCTACTAGTTGTAATTATTACCATCTACTCAGATCACTTATTCAATAAATCTCACCTAATATCTCCGTCTCCTCTTCCTTGCTAACACTTCGGTCTTCTATCACAATCTTCACTATCAATCAATAAACTAATTTATCTATTTGCTAACTTAGTTCTGAAATCTTCTTTTGATTAGTATTAGAATGTTCTCCTTATTATTCAAACTGACTGATCTCCGAGCTCGTAATGTGATATCCGCTGAAATCCAGAAACGCTACTGCTTTGAAACAAACGTTTTCATTCAAATCGCGGAACATACAAAACTGACAACCAACTGCCAACTGATTAGAATTAGACGGTCGAGTGGCTAGACCACCATACATTGGACTCTACGCAACACCTAGAACCGTACCGAAAGAAACGAGAATCGAGCGCAATGAAATCAATTGGTTTATACTAGCTTTTGAAAAATATATTAGATATTGGAGTGCAATTTATTGCATCTTTTTAACGTGTGAAACTATAGATCTGATGTTTAAAGTTATATTACAACTGGTAGTGTGAGAATAGCTAGAAAACATTCATTTCGAAACTTCTTTTACACCAAACTTTACAGATGAGTACCAGTCAAACAGAATAACTGTCTAAACATGGATGAATATTTCGTAGTAGATAAGGGCATAAGTGAATTAGTAAATGACTAGTATCAAAAGTATTACGTAACTGGTTTCAAACAGTGATAACGTAAAACTGTGCTTCTAAACAAGTTTTCATGGAGTGAGAAAAATGAATTATACGGTAGTCGAAATAAAGTATCATGAAGAGACCATTGTAGCCATTAACATCGGTATAGTTATATGTATGTATTGATTGTGAACATATCTATGATCCGAAAGAATGACTCAGTTACACATTTGAATTCATCAATCAATCAATCATTGTTAGATCACACCATAAGAAACCTGGAAGCACTGAAAGACGGCTGTTTCGTTCTGGTATGTGACTCATCAGTAGTGCATACCCACAAATCCTGCACCTCACAGGATTTGAACCCGGGACTTTCGGTATCGCGCATAAACGCCTAACCTCTGGACCACTTGGTCGGCACCCAGTGGTATTAATGTCTTACTCTGATTGATCTTAGTTAACCATTGTTTGATTTTCATTTCATTGTCACGGTTGTTTTCACTACACCTAGTCTCTGGAGTAAGTGAACAGTGTCTACTTATCAACTCGAGTCATATTCCTTTGAGTTTGCTAGTGTCATTGCTTCCTACAATCGCATTAATGTGTATCGCTGTATAAGGCGGTAGTTAATGTCTTTTCAACAATAATCATAGGAAACAATTTTAGGTCAACGTATACAAGTAAAGTGTTATTAAAAGGTTATGCGAATATTGATGTAAGGAAACTTTCGCCACAATTTTGTGGAAAAATCATCGCATCACAGATCGAAATAAAACTGGGTAGCCACAGAGAAAGGGAAGTATAGTGTCAGTCCACATTAAAAAAACAAGCCCACTGAGAATCAACTACTCCTTGTTTAGAGGGAGGCATCACATCGTCATAAAGCTTTTCATTCATAAGTTCACAGTTCAAGTTTCCTTTAGTGATGTCTCAGCCATCAGATGTTCACTTCATTTGCACTTCACTTCGTTTACAATTCTCACTGATTCTCAAATGTGGTCTATTATATTGATGTACTATTTTTAACAGCCTTTAAAAAAAAAATATATCCCCCTTTCATTTTTATTCATACCAAAAGGTAATCATTATGCGAACTTATCCTCATCCAAATATTGTTGAAATGTTTGGATCTTATTTAATCGGTAATGAATTATGGGTAGCTATGGAATATTTAGAAGGTGGTGCATTAACCAATATTGTTACACGTACATTGTAAGTAGTAAAAATTTACATTTTACTTTTTTTTATTTGACTTGGGAATAATTAGTTTTTTGGCTCTAAAGACATTAACTTTTTCAGTAGTTAAATAAAGAAAGAACTTATCATTTTAAAATGCAGTGTAAACTATCAGTGACATCAATTCATAAAACTGTATAATTTCGAAATGATAGTAAGAAGTGGATTACATTACCTATTCATAGTGTGGTGTGAGCTACTTATAAGTAGTATATGACGTGAGTGTAAACGTAATGTCTGGCAACAGAAGATGGGGGAAGATCAAGAAAGGAAGAGTTGGAATTTGTATGAAACGCATGAATAGTAGTGACAATGGATTGATGTTGTTTGCAACAGGAACAGTCCAGTTCGATATGATGGACTGATATTTTGCAAATGAACGATTGACGATATGGTTTTCCGATTTTACTGAGTAACTCTGTAATTTTCGTTAAATACAATTCGGTTGCCCCACCTGTGTTCTCCTTCACTACAATAGTTTTGTAATGAGATTGAAACTACTATTCACGAGATTACCAAATGAACTGCCGTTGGATGAAGAGATGTATTGATTTGTTGTCTTGTGTGATATTGAAATGATATCAAGAAGCAGCTTACAACCACCGAGGAGAAATGCGGAATGGCAGTAACATGATTGGCGAGCGAGTTATGATCTTTATTTAGTATAGTTAAACAAAAAGGAGTACAGCAGAACAATTATTGTCAGAATTTTAAGTACAATAAGAAATGTTCCCATTTCAGAAATTGTGTTCTCTACGTAAAAGTATATCACTACAGTTTTATCATAATATTTAGAGACTGTTAGGATATTTATCCAATATCCTAGGAGAATTATTGGTCAATTCTTATTGGTTAATTCCTACTGGTCAATTTTATGGTCGTTCTAGATATCAATGTCATGTGCTCGATTGTTGTTGTCTCTTATTGGACATCCGCACTGTCAATGTTATTTCAAATGTTCTTTCTTATTGGTTGTCCTGACTATCAATATCACTTCAAATGTTACTTTCTATTGGTCGTCTTAACTGTCAATGTCACAGACTTCGATGCTGCTTCCTATTCGACCAACATGTATAAATACTCATTATCTGTAACGTTTTATGACCAGAAACTGATCCCGGATCCCTAATCCTGTATCCTGGTTCTCTTCTGGATTCGGACCTCGTACTTTCTGGATGCTTGTAGAATACAGGTTCTACTTCATATCAAGTCTTCTTATGTTTACTCAATATAGGGGTTAGGATAAACGGATTTGAGTAGCATGTGGTGTCACCGGATCCTCGATCCTCGCTCTCGTTTTCCGACTAAGGTAAACTCGTAATAGTTCAAGCATACCAAAATGACGTGTGTACGTGCAGGCGTAACATAGACACATTAAACAAAATGTATCATCTACTGTTTCAGACTTTCGTATTTTTCACATATTTCTACTTAAAAACCAGTTCAATTAGCCAATAAATATTCATTTGTTAATTCTGGAGCAGTAGAAATCTATTGACGTTTAGTTTTCAAGCAAATTAGATAAGCGTGCTTTAATTAGTAAAGGATTGAAAAGTATTGATTCAAAGAGAAAGCTGGCTTTTTTATTGATTTTAGATTACTTTCTGATAATGATCTCTAATCGTTCGCTATATATATGAAAAGGGATGCAATTTTATTTATTAAAGCTAAGTAAATTCCATTGTACAAGTTAAAAACTCGCTGAGTTTATGCGAATCGTTTTGTTTAAACCCACATGAGGGGACAATTTGTACGTAGCTGTGAATCCTAATCTTGGTACTACACTACATATTTCTAAGTAAGATACTTGAAAATTTCTTCAGGGTATTGATCTTTCATAGTAGGATTCGAGCCAGGATAACCCAGTGTGTAGGTCATGGACGATATCATTGAGTAACAGAAATTTCGATCCACTGAAATACATCCAATACACTGTGACCTAATACATATATCAATTTCATCAATATTTAAACTGTCTCCTATTTCAAACAGTTGGTTTTTTTCACAAATTCAGACAAAGCGAGAATGACATTATTCACAAAACTAGCTTGTATGTTTCTGAACTAAAAGCGACTAAATATGACGAATTCACTGCATTCTGAAAATGCTGACCTTCTTGCATCGTGTACAGTGTGCGTCAGGTTTCTTGAAATGCATTACAAGTATTATACTTACTTACTTACTTACACCTGTTACCTCCAATGGAGCATAGGCAGCCGACCAGTATTTTTCCAGCGTACTCTCTCCTGGAATTCGGTTACCACTTCATTTTTCGCATTACTTTCTCTATTTCTCGGCTTATTGTGTTCCTTGACCTTCCTCTTTCCCTTTTACCTTGAGGGTTCCAAGTGAGGGCTTGTCTTGTGACACAGTTGAGTTCTTTCCGCAGTGTGTGCCCTATCCACTTCCATCGCTTCTTCCTGATTTCCTCCTCCACTAGAATCTGGTTTGTTCTCTCCCACAGTAGATTGTTGCTAATGGTGTCGAAATATTATGAAATTGTTTTATTCTTATCAGTGACCAATGGAGTTCAACCCTGTGTGGTGTAGGCAGTAACTATCAAAGACAAATGGGTGAAGTCACGCAAAATCGCTAGATCAATCAGAGTTAGACATTAACACCGTTGGATGCCGGCCAGCTCAGTGGTCCGATGGTTAGGCGTTCGCGCTCAATACCGAGAGTCCCGGGTTCCGATCCTGCGAGATGCAGGTTTCGTGGATGCGCTTTGCTGATGAGTCCCATACCAGGACGAAACGGCCGTCTTTCAGTGCTTCCAGGTTTCTAATGGAGTAGTCTAACAATGATTGATTGATGATTTCAACTGCGTAAAAACACAAACCTCCAAAACTCTGCCCCTATGTTCACTATACTGGTTGTTTGAATAAAATTATCAATATATATGAATGTCTTCGTCTCCTTAAAATTAAAACACTTTTTCGGTGAATAACTTCCTATGTATTGTATAGAATGTCAGAGAAACAAATAGCCACTGTCTGCCGTGATGTTCTTCGTGCATTGGCATTTCTTCATGATCATGGTATTATTCACAGAGATATCAAGTCGGATTCTATTTTATTATCAATCAATGGACGTGTAAAACTTTCTGATTTTGGATTTTGTGCAAGAGTAAGTTATGATATGAAAGTATATAACTACTAAAACATTACCTAGAACCTAACTAAATTCCCGTTTACGTTCTGTCTGTTTGATACATTTGATTTAACTATCGATAGATAGGCATTTACCAAAGTAGTCAAGAAAATGTTCATATTTTGAATCACGTAATCGTCTTATCTAGACTATCAGTATAGACCAAGGAACCATAGACAATTGTTTAGTCTTAGCTTGGGCTTCTTTCACAAACCAACTGTTTGAATGCTTTTTACACATTTGAAATCATCAATCAATTATTGTTAGACTACACCATTAGAAACCTGGAAGCACTGAAAGACGGCCGTTTCGTCCTGGTATGGGACTCATCAATGGCAGTGCGTATCCACGACTCCTGCACCTCGCAGGATTCGGACCTGGGACCTTCGATATTGTGCGCGAACGCCTAACCATCGGACCACTGTAGATCTTAATGAAAATACAATTCTCTTCAGTTAGTCATTCTTGTTATACTGGTGAATAAACATTTCATTCTGTTATTTGAAGTAGCTGTGAATTAGAAGCCACTAGGTTTTATACAGCTGTACGAATTACTCTATCGATAAAATGCTCAAGACGTTTCGTTGTTGATAAATAACTGATGTCAGTAAGTAATTCTGCCCAGTCATTTTAAAAATCTGTCTATTTTATTTTTTTTTTATTTCAAGGTTTCTCCTGATCATCCACGAAGGCGTAGTCTTGTAGGTACACCATATTGGATGTCACCTGAAGTGATCAGTCGTTTACCTTATAACACCTCAGTTGATGTATGGTCAATGGGTGTTTTACTCATAGAAATGGTTGACGGTGAACCAACATTTTTCAATGAACCTCCATTGCGTGTTATGCGTCATATTCAAAGAGATGCTATTCCTCATTTAATGTATCCTCACAAGGTATGAATGGTTATAGTTAGCTTATAGTTGTTCAATATTTGAAGTTAATACTACTTATATAAGTCACAAGCTTGGTATCCTTTTAATTACTTGCTACTCGATGATTGATGAATCCAGTTAATGATGAAAAGAACACGTTAATAGTGTTGCATGATTTACACACAGCTTTATTTAATATCAATGATCATAAATGTTGCAATATTGCTGTACTCAACTATTTGAGAGTAAAACGCCACAAAAGTGCCTAGTCTGGTACAAATACCATAATAGACACTAGAATATGATGATTATCGAACACAATGTTGATAACGCGAAGATATATGTTTTACAATGCTAGTTAAGCTGTAGCATAATGAAATTCATATTCCATTTTATCAATGTATCCTTCCCTTCTGCATACAACTTGTTTGAATCCATCTAAGCTTCTCCTGACGGTCAGCAAACCATGGAAGTGTAGGGTTCGTCACTAGATACGCTTGAAGCTATTACGAGTTCACCTTAGTCGATAAACGCGAACGAGACAATTACCAGCGTCCAGATAGGCTACCTTGAATCCCGAGCTGAAGATAAAAGTCTTGGTAAGTGTAGAAAGTATATTCTACAAACACCCAGCAATCACACAATACAATCAAGAATACAACTCTCGTTTATTTATACATCATAGAAACGTCCTTGGGACAGTTACGAAAATAACACACTAAAATACACAGCAGCCAATCACAGCCATGGGTTTTCCTAGTGGGAAATGAAATCTCAAGGTCAACTGATCAGCCATGTTCGCAAACGTGAAATCCTAAATAAGGCATTGATCAAGCGAGTTTTGGGGATCTAACATCCCCAACAGAAAGATGCAGTGTTCTCTGACTTGTGAGAATCAAAGCGGTTATTAGTGAATTAATTGCGCAGAAATGATGTGAGCCGGTATTTTCTTTGTGCTATATAATAAGGGAATCGTGAAACATTGGGTAATCCAGTTTTCTTTTGAGTTTATGCCTTATGAATCCTAGAAAATCTGGTTTGGTTTTGCCATGGTTGTACGTTTGCATTCCTAGAATACTGCTCACTTGAGTGGAACTGCTATCTGATACTTAGTAGTAATTTTAATGAGTCTACGATTTATTTCTATTGGAAGTGTAAATAACCAACATCTACACTGATTTTGTAACTGCGATCCCACTGTTTATTGATAAACTTACTGATTCCACCATCATAAGAAACCTGGAAGAGCTGGACGGTCATCTCGTCCTAGAACAGGACTTCTCCACAATGTTCATTCAAAATGTAACTTTCAAGATTTCAGTGATCCTACGTCTGTGCGCAGGACCTAAAGCTCAGATTTTTGTTCCTGTGAGTAGTGAGAGTCATGAATATGCACTACTGACGAGTCCCATACCCTAGATAAGACGACCATCCACTGCTTCTAGTTTTTTATTGGTGATCTTACGATAATCAGTTCGCGATTCAATATAAAGTATTTAGTTTTTATAACAATTGTTTAAAGTTACTTAATAGATCTAAGCAGTAGTAACCATCAGGTAATGAAAAATTTGATGCCTCTATACAATTTACACAATGAATAGATCAGCTAACATATATATATATATATATATATATATATATATATATTCCAGTTACTGACTTCTTGACGGTTTCGAATTATTCCTATAGTATTTGTGTTCATTCTGTCATGCTAGTAAATTAATATGCTTAAACTATTACGAGTTCATCTTAGTTGGTAACCGAGAGTAAAGACAAATGATCCAGTGACACGATAGGCTACTGTAATCCAAACGTTTTAAGGCCCAACTAAGTAGAGGACGAAGTCTTAACAAGATGTAGAAAGTTTATTCTACAAGCACCCAGAAAATTGAGGTTGACAAGCACACATATAGAGTTTATTTATACTTGGTAGAAACGTCCTTGGGTGAGCTACAAAAATAGCGTACTGAAATAACAAACACATCAGTGATTTTCCGATTGAGAAATACAATCTCCAGATCAACTGATAAGCTCATGCTTGAAAACATAAAATCCAAAATTAGGACGTTTATCAAGTGAGTTCTTGGGAATCTAAGGTCCTCAGTTCAGAAGATAGCATGTTTGTGTTTCTTGCAATTCAGCATTCATTGAATAACCCTTCAATTGTGGTTGATGCTAACTTATTCCTTCATCGTCTGTTTTTACTTATCTTGATGCTTTGGTTTTACCGGAATGATTTTTATATTTATATTTCACAGTGTACCGATAACCTCCACAACATTTTTTCCTGCATATATATATATTTTAGTCATCCAGAAAGTTGAATTCATTTCTTGGACTCATGTTAGTTCGTGATCCATTCAGACGAGCAACAGCTGCCCAATTGTTATTACATCCATTTTTATTATTAGCCGGTTCTACTGATTGCCTTCTACCATTACTGTATCAGTCGAATATTGTCTCATGAAACGATCCATGATCCATGAAGTGATCCAGTATTCGGCAATAATACAATTCCCTGAACAAACTGATGATAATCCAACATCCACATTCACATGAAATATGGAAGAAACCATAATCATTACATAAAAATTTACAATACAGAGCATCAAATTATTGCTCATTCTAGGGAAATTAAATTTCTTAGCTCAAAGAAAAAACCAATTGTAATCTTTGCACACTGTCTGTAAAAAATTACTACCACACTGATTTGCATATAAAATTTGACAATTTTTTTTTTTTTAATATGTGATATTTACAAATAATTATTATTATTGGCATAACCTTTTTGATACACTAAAAAGAAAATAGACATTTTTATTTTATTTTATTTTTTTTACGAAAAAACATGGCTCAGTCTTTCATGATCTGTGAAGATTTAAATTTTATTCAATTTCTCTTAATTTTTTTTTGTTTAAATCATACACATGTTTGTTCAACATTCAATGGTTAAAAATGACCTTGAAACCAATTATTTCATTTAAATTTTCCTTATTCTCTTCAAAACTATTACATGAAGGTGTACATATAGATAATAGACAGAAAAATCCATTTTCTTTTTGTATAAAATTTAAATCAGGATAATCAATATTTATTTTTTGTGTTTGTTTGTTTTAATTGTTGCACAGAATTCAAATTGTACCACTCATTGAGTTTCGATTGTTTTTACCAGAAGAAACTTCAGTTAATGTTAATTGTTTTGATTTGTTGATTTGATCTTTTAATGTTTTAATTGAATATTTTTGAAATAATCTTTTTCATTTCTTTTTTTTAAAAAATGTAAAACATTTGAAATCTTTGGATTCGTTTAATTAATTTGTTTAATTAAAACACAAATGCAATAATATGTTAGTTGGGAGATTGAAACAAAAAACAAAATAAAATGAAAAAAGATTTATCAATTGTGTTTTGAATAATTTTTTGAAATGATCAACGTTCACTTGGTGTATAGTTTTATGAAGTGCCATCACAAACAGATCTGCATAGAAGTTAAACGATGTTGAAAACCACGCTAATTAGGTTGACATTTTCAATAAATCTGTAGTGCGCCGATTTCGAGGTGTTCTTAAGCTCGGCGGTAATTAGCTCGTTCAGACAATCCTTACTAAATAGCGTCTGATGGTTTATAAATCAGAAGATGAATTCGAAGTGTTGATTACGTTTATTTTGGCACACTACAAATAAGGATAGCAGACCACAAGCAGACCGGGCAGGCACATTAGCGAGTGAATGTGCGAATAGGCGGATGAACAGGCGATGAGCGTGGGGGAGAAGGATGATGAGCCAACTCAAAGAGATAGAGCATGACTAAGAATATATAGTCAGACAGACATGCGACAAGCGAAATAGGCACACATGAATAAAAGCGACGAATAGTTGACAAGGTCAAATGACAAGTGGGACTAATCATGTGAGCTCATACAAACCGGACAATAATAAGAACGAATGGTACATATAAATTATTGCAATACAAATGACTTGGTTAAATAAATTAATCGAAAGGGCTCAAGCGAGTTAGATGTAAGCGAACTGGAATATATGTGGAGGCTCTACATATCTACGCTTTTAACCGCATTATCAGACTCATAAAATACTGTTCCTAGAAGTTTCCAAATTTCTGTTATATCGTGATACCATACAGGTTGTCATAAACGTCATTCAATTTAACACAAATTATAGTTTAGTTGTATTATCGGCTTCTGGTTTGTTCAGCAGCGCCAGTTTGAAAAACATTCGAATGTTAGCCATAAACCGAAATCACTTGTCATCTATTTATTTAAACAAAGATTTCCGGTAAAAGTAGAAGATATTCGCAGGTTACTAGTATTTAATCATAGAAGCATTGCTCGTGTATCGTGGGACAAACGACTACGCAATGCTGTTGTCAGGAAACGAGTACTAGGTAAGGATGGCAGATCAATGCTCAACCACCGACTGCCTCAAAGAGCATTGTTTTGTGGTATAGGTGTAGGCTGGAAGAAAGATAGGGGCGGCCAGATCAAAGCATGGCACAAATCCATGAAGTCACTGACAAGTAAACTGATTCGTGTTGGTAGATCTAGGCTAGCTGGTTGAGGTCCGCGAGACGAAAGTCACTGATGGTTAGAGACCTTGAATGACATGGCTCAAAATCGTTTGCAATGGCGCAAGTGCATCCATTCGTTGTACTCTCTCAAATCCTAATCTTCTGGATTTGTCAACATCTCTAACTTTGTGTTTCTAAACTTATCTCACTGAATTCTACTTCTTGAATAATATCTTCAAATCCTAATATTCTGCATCACTGCTAATACTTCTATTATCTCTACCACCAATGAGAATCAAAATGACAATGGCGTCTATGTGCTAATGTGGTATGACAACCTGAATTGATGTACTGACGTACGAAGTTCTACATTTTAACTGACTGACATTAAAATAAAGCCAAATGCTAGGACGGAGCATAAAAAAACATGAATTGTATTTGTAGAATCCATTTTGAAGGCTTTGTTTCGAAAAAATCCCTCCATGTATATATTTGTAATATGTTCTTATTGACTCTTTCTGTGTTACATTCCGATTCTTTGTTTAATCCCATTTTGGGATGTTATTATTTGTATTTTGTTATAGTTTCTATTTTTTGTACCTTTTTCGGAGTTTCTATGTTTCCTTCTGAACTGTATTATGTTGTTTAAATTGATACTTAATTATGGCTTCAGCCATATTGGATTTGATACCCTGGTGGGTGAAACGTACGTCTGGAGTGGAAAGGTGCAATTTCAGACCTAAACGGAAGCATTCTTCCAGAAATGGAAACATATTGTGATGATTTCAAATGTGTAAAAACACAAACCTCCAAATTCTTGACACAAAATATCGTAACAGTGCTCACTAGTGACTGGCTTCGTGAGTAAATTCTCGGAGTTCTAGTTGAGAAGACATGACTAATGGAGTTCAACCCTGTCAGGTGTAGGCAGTAACTACGAAAGACAGATGAGTGAGGTCGCGGAAAATCCCTAGATCAATCAGAGTTAGACATTAGCACCGTCAGATGCCGGCCCAGTGGTTCGATGGTTAGGCGCTCAGGCACAATAACGAAGGTCCCGGGTTCGAATCCTGCGAGGAGCAGTATTCGTGGATGCGCACTGCCACTGATGAGTCCCATAACAGGCCGAAACCGTCATCTTTCAATGCTTCCGCGTTTCTAATGGTGGTCTAACAATGACTGATTGATGATTTCAAATGTGTAAAAACGCAAACCTACAAAACTGTGCCCCAAAAAAATGTGTTATTTTAACGAAAAACAGTGTAATATTGGTAAGGTAATTATCTTTATTTTTTGATTATTAATAGAACCACTACTTACTAAGATAAATTGCTTTCTTTTTTGAATTAACTTGACAAAGCGTATTTAAACTTCTAGAACTGTTTTTCGGAAATCAGAATCCACTCTGAACCTTACGATATTTGACTAAAAACGATTTGAATCATTTGTTAATATAATGACACGTTTGAAAATTTTTCCTTTCACTGGTTCATTAAAAATGATTTAGAAAATTGTTGAAATCTTGAACATTGAATACTTGATAAAAGCTAATTTAAACACAATAACATAACTGTGATTATACTAAGTTAAATCGTATGTATGTATTTAATAAGTGTATTCAGTAAGCCTGTGGTGCGCGCTACTCATAAGTAGTATATGATGCGAGTAAAAACGTAATTGTGGTGGTGTTTTGTTCTTTCAATTGGATCACCAATATCAGGACTCATCGCTGAAGCTGTAATGCAGAGACTGGAAGCGTCGATTTTACCAGTGATCAAGCCAAAATTGTGGGTTCACTATGTAGACGACACATTCGTTATTATCAAAAGGAATGAGCTGGAGAACATCTACAATCAGATCAACAACGTCTTCGATGACATCATATTCACGATGGGAAAGGAATCAAACAACAGCCTATCATTCCTGGTTGTACTAATCACCAGAACTAACACAGGAAAACTAGAAACTCAAGTATTTCGGAAGCCAACCCACACCAACGTAATTCTCAACTACGACAGCAACAACCCAAGAACCCACATGATCAAATGCATACAAACTTTGTTCAAGAGAGCGAAGACACACTGCAGCACATACGAAGCACTAAAAAACGAGGAAAAACACCTGATGACTATCTTCCAAAAAAACGGCTATCCACGCAACTTCATCAAAAAACATCAACCAAACCATCATCAGGAGCGATATCAAGCACAGAAACAAATAAACGCATCGTCCTTACCATACATTAAAGACATATCGGAGCATACAGCACGACTACTGAACCATTTGGAATAGGTGTGGCACACAAACCAACAGAAGCACTTCACACAACCAAAACAACCAGCTCAGAGAACAAAACACCACCACAATCATCCACCTGAGCTACAAGTTTTCTCCACCATCTTAAAAACGTAATGTCTGGCAGCAGAAGATGAGGGAAGATCAAGAAAGGAAGAGTGGGAACACAATGGAATTTGTATGAAACGCATGAACAGTGAAATGTCAGACAATGGATTGATGTTTTGCAACAGGAACATGGCAGATCGATATGATGAATTGATATTTTGTAAATTAACAATTTACTATATGATTTTCCTATTTTACTGAGTAACTCTGTAATTTGAGATGTAATAACAATTCGGTTGCCCTCACCTGTGTTCTCCTTCACTACAAGCCGCTAGGTTTTGATTTTTTTAAGTTGTGTCTTTACCATTTTATATCATTATGTCAGATTGAGTTGTCGAAATGAACGTATTGGTTAGAACTTGGTAAGATCCATTTTTTTCGAGGCTTTGTTGTGACAATTCCCCTCCATGTATACTACATTTGTAATTTGACCTTATTGATTCCTTCAGTTGTACATTTTGTTAATCTGTTCCATTCCATTTCGGAGATGATAATATTTGTATTTTATTATAGTTTCTATTTCTTTGCCTTTACTGAGTTTCTGTGTTTCTTTCTGAACTGCATTTATGTTGTTTAAGCTGATACTTAGTCATGGCGACAGCCATATTGATTTGTTCCTCTTTTGATTGTGTCGGTTGCTTGCATTGACTGGAATTGTGCATTTTGATTGTGAATTGAAGCACTCTTCCAGAATAGGAAACACTCTGTGTTATAAAGCAACCAAATATTATCTGTCGAACGAATCTGATCTATCCAGGAGGGATAGAATATCATTT